AATTTGGAGTTCTAAGGATATTGGTTGGTCCTCATTGAATTCCCAAGGCAAGTCCAGTGGTTTGCTTATCCCTTGGGATGAAAGCTGAGGAGGTGTTGGAGATTATCGGGAAAGGAGTTTTTGGACAGAAATTTGTAATACAGAGTGCTATTGTGATCCTTTATGGTGTATAGCCGGTGATTTTAACGTTATTCGTTCGTCTTCCGACCATATGAAAAAGCAGCCCATCCGATTCCACTAGAGCTGACTGAAGAGTGGGAATGGATAACAGAACCAAAGGAAGCATTGGCCTTCCAGACCAACACAGCCACGGGCAAACAGGAAGCCCTCATCAGCTGGAAGGGACTTTCGGAGGAAGAAGCGACTTGGGAGCCCATTCGGGAAATCTGAAAGCAGTTCCCTGGATTCCACCTTGGGGACAAGGTGGTTGTTGAGGAGGGGGTGATGTTAGGCCTTTGATAACTAAAACTTATTGTAGGAAGAGTAAAATGGGAATGTTAGGAATGTAGGCCATAACGGCCATGAGAGAGTGTGTGTCTAGCTGGCGGTAGGGGGTACGGTTAGGGTATAAGGCAGGGAGAATGTCGTAGGGAGGAGAATATCTTTTTTTGTGAATTGTGTCTGGCTTGTTGAGCTAAGGAAGGAGAGTTTCCCCACCCTCTCAAATTGGTGGGTTAGCGTTTTGTATCGCCTGAGGGCCATTTTGTTTGGAAACTAGTAGAAGTGGTGAGCAATACCTCACATATTCCTGGCCTCAGTTCTACATTGCAACGTTGAAAAACTTCCTCTTTTGCATCTAGGCCTTCCATTAGGAGGAAATCCTAAGAGTACTGACTTTTGGCAACCAGTTTTGGAAAATTTTCATTAGAAATTGGATAGATGGAAACATTTCCATCCATCGAGAGGTGGCAGATTAACACTTTGTACTTCGGTTTTGGCCAACCTTCCTTCATTACTATATGTCTCTTTGGAGTTTGCAAACAAACTGATAAAGAGATACGGAATTTTTTCTGGAAAGGTAACTCCACCGGTAAAATGAGGCATTTGGTTAATTGGAAGATCACATCACTACCATTGGAGGAGGGGGGATTAGGAGTTGGTGGCCTTTTGAAGAAAAATCAAGCTCTTTTGGCAAAATGGGGCTGGCAGTATGGAAATGAATCTTCCTCTTTATGGAGACAAGTGAAAAGTTTGTATGGTTCTGAGTCATTAAATTGGTTTACTGCCATCAACTCGAATATTTGCTGCTGCTGTCCTTGGAGTGGTATTTCTAGATATTGGAATTCAGTCAACTCTTTTGGTACATTTTAAAGTAGGCAAGGGTCGGAGTGTATCATTCTGGCATTCTACTTGGGTTGGTAAGGAGCCTTTGAAGTCTGCTTTTCCCAGAATTTTTAAACTTTCTTTCAATCCTGATGGTGTGGTATCAAGCTTTTGGGATTCAAATACTAGTTCATGGAATTTAGTGTTGTTAAGAGCTTTGAAAGGGGAAGAAGTGGAGGAATTTTCTACATTATTATCAGCAGATACAATAGATAGCAGATTTTGGAGTCTTGAACCTTCTGGTTTGTTTACAATTGCTTCATTAAGAAGATTTAGTTCAAATGCATCGATGCCCAAGGAATTATTTGCTGCTTTATGGAAAACCAAGAGTCGAAGAAGGGTTAATGTGTTTTGCTGGATTCTTTCTCAAGGAAAGTTGAATATGGCTGAAATTATTCAGAAGAAGTCTCCTTCTGCTGCCCTTCTTCCCTCTTTTTGTTGCCTCTGTACAAAGAGGGGGAGGATCATGACCATCTATTTTTTCATTGCTCCTATGCCTCTAACTGTTGGAATCTGTTATTTCATCAATTCAATGTGGATTGGTGTTTTGATCTCAAGTTTAAAGCTTCACTTTACTCTCCTTCTATGATTTATGCTAATCGGAGAGCTTTTATTAATTATGTGTAATTTTGTTATTTACATTTTTCATTTTTCACATTCTTTTTCACTCTTTCGGGAGTTTGTATCCTTGAACACTTGTATTATCTTTTCATTATTTCAATGACAAGTTGTATCTTTGTTAAAAGCATCTTTATGGGGGTGGAGAGATCCAGGGAGTTTATTTGGGAGATTGATCGGTTCAATACTTTCTTGTAGGGGTTGGGGTTGGCTTTGGAGTTATTTTGTAATTATCAATTAGGTATTATTCTTATAAATTGGAGTCCATTTCTTTCGACAGGCCTCCTATTGTAGGCCAATTTTTTTGTATGCCTTGTACATTCGTCTTTTTTCATTTTCTCAATGAAAAGTTCAGTTTTCCATTAAAACATATATATATATATATATATATATCATAAGTATGTATATATATGTGGCAAGTATACTGTATTGACAAGTATATATCTCAGTTATAAAATGTTGGATTATATGCTTTGTCATAATCTAAATGACTGTGGAGTTGCACAAGTTACGAAGTTTTAGTTGTTACACCTTATAAATGCCACTCTCACCAATCTACCCATTTATTACCTATCCCTTTTCTCCATCCCTGTGAAAACCCCTCCCCCCCAGCCTTTGCCTAAACTCGTCCTTTCACGCAAAGGCTGAAAAAAAAATTGCCTTGGAGCTTGATAGAACAGTGAGGAACTTTTGTGGACGGGACCAACAGATAAAAGGGGTCTTAGCCTGGTTAAATGGGATCATGTCCAGAAACCCATAAAGGATGGTGGTCTGGGTATCATCAGTTTCAAAACTAGAAACAAAGCTCTGCTGACAAAACGGAATTGGAGGTATCTTACCAAAGAAACAGCCCTATGGAGACGATTTATTGCGGGTAAATATTGCATTTCTGACTTCCGCAGCCCTTTGTGCAACACTACTGCCAGGCGCCCTTCGAGAGACATAGCCAAACACAACTCCATGATCTAGGACAGAATCTCTTTCCGAATGGGTGATAGCTCTCTCCCACTATTTCAGAAAGACCCTTGGATCAACAATGAGCCTTTATGGCACACATACCCCCTTCTTTTTGCTCTTCACTCCAGAAAATCTGGCCATATCAAGGATTTCTGGTCAATGGAAACAAACTCCTGGGATATCTGTTTTACTTTTCGCCGAAATCTAAAGGATGCAAAGATTATCGAACTAGCAACTCTTTTATACAGCCTCTCCTCCCAACGACCTTCTTTGAACAAAGATATCATTGATACGGCCCGTTATAAAATGTTGGATTATATGTTGAATGCAGTTTAAGCTAAACTAATAGATTTACTTTTGTTGGATATTTTCCCCCATGAGTCAGTTATAAAATGTTGGATTATATGCTTTGTCGTAATCTAAATGACTGTGGAGTTGCACAAGTTACGAAGTTTTAGTTGCTACACCTTATAAATGCCACTCTCACCAATCTACCCATTTATTACCTATCCCTTTTCTCCGTCCCTGTGAAAATTGCCTTGGAGCTTGATAGAATAGTAGAATAGTGAGGAACTTTTGTGGAAGGGACCAACAGATAAAAGGGGTCTTAGCCTGGTTAAATGGGATCATGTCCAGAAACCCATGAGGATGGTGGTCTGGGTATCATCAGTTTCAAAACTAGAAACAAAGCTCTGCTGACAAAATGGAATCGGAGGTATCTTACCAAAGAAACAGCCCTATGGACATGATTGATTGCGGCTAAATATCGCATTTCTGACTTCAGCAGCCCTTTGTGCAACAATACTGCCAGGGGCCCTTGGAGAGACATAGCCAAACACAACTCCATTATCTTGGACAGAATCTCCTTCCGAATGGGTGATGACTCTCTCCCACTGTTTTGGAAAGACCCTTGGATCAACAATGAGCCTTTATGGCACACATACCCCCTTCTTTTTGCTCTTCACTACAGAAAATCTGGCCATATCAAGGATTTCTGGTCAATGGAAACAAACTCCTGGGATATTGTTTTCGCCGAAACCTAAAGGATGCAGAGATTATCGAACTAGCAGCTCTTTTACACAACCTCTCCTCCCAACAACCTTCTTTGAACAAAGATATCATTGTATGGAAGTTGGAATCGCACGGCATTTTTACCCCCAGCTCGCTCGTCAAAGACCTCCTAAGCATCACTGTGCCAACAGCCCCAACAGACTTGTACCAAGCTATCTGGGAAGGTTCTTATCCAAAAAAGGCCAAATTTGTCCTCTGGGAAACTAGCCTTCATGCTCTAAACACCCACGACAAGCTCTAGAGGCATATGCCATATATGGCTCTATCTCCATTCTCCCTGGTGGTGCCCACTCTGCAAGCTACAGAGTGAATCCATTGGGCATATTTTCCTCTCTTGTCACTATGTTACAGCCCTGTGGAACAGATTTTTGCCCCTATTTGGCTGGTCGGTCCCTCTCCCACAGGACATGTCTCTCCTTGGCCACCCTTTAAGAAAGAAAAAGGCTGCCTCTGGAACCTCTTCATCCGGGCCCTGTTGTGGACTACTTGGACAGAAAGAAACTGACGGATATTCCAAGAATAGGAACGCTCTCCTCGTGCTACTTTTGAAGCTATAGCTTTTTTGGTTATTAATTGGTGTAAATGTTCTCCCATGTTTCACTCTTATAGCTTTGCTTCATTAATTACCAATTGGAGAGCTTTTTTGGGAACCACTATGGGGTTCTCTCCCTCCTTTTGTATTCCTCTTTCATTTCATCCAATCAATGAAATTGTTTTATTTTCTAAAAAACCCTCGCAATGGGAGTTACTAATATATATATTATTTTTTAATATGGGAATTCTTTGACGGCTATTGTTCTTGCATTTTTTGACTGGTTCTAGATTCTGTTATTTTATTTTGGACCTTGAGGTGGCCCTAAGCTGCATTAAATTTTTGTAGTTTTCAATTAATTGTAGATTGGCACAGTTTACCAAGTAAATAAATCTTCTCTAGTGTATTATGTGACATTTTTTGTGGTTTAATCAATTTCTCTGTTCTATAGATTTCTTATGCTTCACTTTTATATTTTGCTTTGAACTGCCATTTACAGGAATCCCAGGCTGTGCGAAGTCTGCTCTTTGCAGGGAGATACTCAATGCTCCGGGAGGACTTGGAGATGATCGACCAGTCAAGAGTCTAATGGGTGACCTGATCAAAGGTAATGATGATAGATGATTTTCTTTTGACTTTTTACAGTTTTTAAGCTAGCTCCCAATCAGCAAAACCAGCCAGCAAACCAGCAATCCTATGATAGATCCCCGGTCATTAAGCAATATGTAAGGAGGAAGGGCAAGAAGGCTAGAGATTAGACTCTTGTGGGCCCGAGTTAGTTAGAGGGTAAATTGGTCACTTAAAAGGGTATAGGGTGGTTATATGAGCTGCTGTAATAGGGGGGTGGGTATCTTTTGGCTGAGTGTTCATTGTGAGGAATTGTAGGAGAGACTAGGGAGCTCTCGAATTCTCCCTCAACCTGTAAATTCCCCTCTTATACATAAATAATAGAGCAGAACTCTATCATCCTACTGCTCCTAAAGCTTAAGAAAAAACCCTTGTGCAGCTCCAACAGCTGAAGCACAATAAAAAAAACCAATTAGCATTCATAATAACCTTGAAAAGCTATCAGAAAAGAGCTGAATCTTTCCACTTCTAAGAACTTCTTGCCCTTCTGAAATTTGATTCTGCAGATTGGAATTGCTTTTCTCTCTCGAAGCCCAATCACTACCTTTTAGGGAAAGGAAAATTTTTCCATTAATAAAAAAAATTGTACAATAAGTAAAAATATGAATGTATTGCATTGAAAATATAGATTCGACTAAAGATAGCTTTATATTATTCAATTGATTATTCAAACGATGCTTATGATATGGAAAAAAGTCGGAATTATTCAGTGATCTTTCATGTTTGGCATATCGTGAGCATTGCAAATCTCAAATGGTCTATTTTGGTGTTAGCAGGGAAAACTTTGGTTTTTTTTCTAAAAAGAAATTGTTAGAACAGTAGAAGTTGAGAATGGAAGACTGCCATTTCAGTCCAATTAATTATACAGATAATTAGTTAGTGTTAATTATTTGGTCTAGGTAATCTGAACATCTTGCTGCCGTTTTCATATTTTGCCTTTACGTATTGAGTTCAGAAGAATGTAATTGCTGCTGGAGATTTGCACATTTTTTAATGTCCAAAATTATTGATTAAGAGTTCTAGGCAGATAACTTTGGCCGATCAACTTGTTTCATATATATTTAATATATACAGGAAGATATTGGCAGAAGGTTGTTGATGAGCGTAGGAGAAAACCGTACTCCATAATGCTTGCAGACAAAAATGCACCAAATGAAGAAGTGTGGAGACAAGTAATATTCTCGTTCTTTACTTAAATAGTAAACACTGATCCAGTGAACAACCATGGGGAACATAAAATGATGGTGACTATTACTAGCTTTTCTTTCATTGAATAATTTGGTTACAAATTCAATCCCCTGCTTAGGTATATCGCTTCAGTATTTAAGCATTTTACTGTATCTATTATCAACTTGAGGAAGTGGCACTTCAGATGATTAAAAGTCCCCAGAAGAAAGTTGGGCGTGTCCTTTGAGTGCTCTAGTTGCTGCTTGTGATACCTTGTTTCTCTGTAGCCTTCGAGAATGACTATTTCAGGAATATGCGTCTTTGGAACTTGTGGAGCTAGTATTTGATTTTAATTTATGATGAAATTCTTTCATTCTTTTCATGTTAGCTTAATCCAACTGTTCCTTGAACTTTCTTTCCAGTTTTATAGGCATTTTTTCCACTGATAAACCTTAGAGGTGATCTACGATTTTGGTATTTGTTTTCATTGTATCAATCCAACAGCTTTTTCATTCTTCCAGCGTCTGGATGTTTTCATGGTATGTTTTGAACCTAAGAAGCACAGACACGGATACCGAGACGGGTATATGTTAATTTTTTAAAAAGTAGGACACGGACACGTTGGGGGCACATTTTTTTTTAGAATATGTGTATTATGAATATGATATATTTAATATTATCCTATCCCACCAAAACAAATATTAATATCAATAAGTAAAGAAGATCCTACTCAAGGTTACTGTTGCGGAGTGCATAAACCTTAAAAAAATGAATAAATATTTTCTCCTTTTTAAAAAATGCTGGTGTAATTGGAAAAATCCACCCAGAAGTAAAATCTCACGAATCCCACTAAGGAGATAAGTACTAGAAGTACCTATGAAAAATTTTCAACCCACAAAAATAAACCAGAATGGGATTTGGAAAAATCCCACTAAGCAAAAATTCCACTAATCCCACTCGGAAGATAAGTGCTAGAAGTACTAAGATGAATCTTCTACTGAAGGCGACCACTAGCAATTTCTGTTCTGACTTTCTCCCTCCCTCATGCGCTCTCTTCCTCCCCCTGCTTGAGATATCAAGCGAAGTTTAGGTTCAACCAAAGCTCCACTGCAACAACAAAGTTTCTTTTGTGTGATTTTCCTTTAAGGAGATAAATTACATTTCGCTCTCCCTTAATCAATTCTTTTAGAGTGAGTTTTAGGGTTTAGACCTGCCCATCATTTTTTTTAAATCTTTCTTCACAAGGAAAAATATGTTTGGGTCATCAGCCGTGTCCTTGGGCATGTCCGAACATGTCTGGACATATCCGAAATTACAAAAAAAAAATAATAATAATAATAATAATAATAATAATAAAATACTTTTTTTTAGGTGTTGGGCACGTGTCTGAGAGAATTTACATCCTGATGGACCCTTAGTTCTTGCCATCAATTTGATCCTTGGAATAAAAAAGGTGAACCTATTTCATAAATTTCATTGATAGGCCGCTTTTATTATAATTAACGTCACCTTTTTAGGAGGAAATTTAAAAGTCATCCAACCTATTCAAGTTGGTATATGTTATAATTTGGTTACAGTTTTTTTCAATTTTTTTTTTATAGGAAATAATTTTATTGATGATATGAAATGTTGCAAAAAGGAGAACTCATCCAAAGGATTACAACAAATTATGAGAGATTTTTCCAATTTGACATTTCAATACATTAGTTACTTCATTTTCTTATAGAATTGAGTGTTTAGCACAGGATATGTCAATCACAAAATACAATGACCGTGTTTCCTATTTTATGCTATATTTTGTATTTTGAAAATAATTGGCTATACTATGTGGCTATTTACGGAAAAGGTCCAATCTATTTTGTGAAGGGAGAGGCCAAAACGTAGTATTAGTTTCTGAAGATGAGTGTGTTTTTTGACTTGTTATAAGGAATTCTAAATTTGTGCAGATTGAAGATATGTGTCATAGCACAAGAGCCTCTGCAGTTCCAGTTGTACCTGATTCTGAAGGTTATTATCATCAGGATGCTTCTAATGTTCGGTTCCTTGTCCTATGATATGTTGAGAGAAGTTTTTATTTTAATTGCTTGAAAATTGTTTTAATCAACACCAAGTCCATTGACCATACTAATGGCGAGTTTGTCAATTTGGGATGACTTTCTGAAAAACGTGCTTTTAAAGCAATCCAGGCTATTTACCGATGTGAAAGTAGAGAAAATCAGGAATGTATCTTGAACATGACTGATGCTATCTTAAAGCAAAGAGAGAAGATACCTAAGGATCCTATAACCATTGAGGAAAAAGAAATAAAGGGAAATTATGGCAAGCATGACTGATATGAATATGAAGGAAAGTAAAGAAAATCAGGAATGGATCTGGAAGAAAGCATGGCAACTGCCTCTAGCAAAGACTCAGCTTCCAACTCATTTTACCATGCTATTGTGTTTTTTCATGGAATTTGATTGGTAGATTCGAAAATTTGTTGTATGTTGATTCCCTTGCCATGTCTTTCTGTTAAAAGAGAATTGTGCCTATTGACATCATATATACCTTTGCTGGAAACAGTTATTTTTGTTCGTCCACGCTCACAGAATAATTCATTCTCATTTATGACCTGCTGAATTTGCAGGAACTGATGGTAACCCCTTCTCTCTTGATGCACTGGCTGTCTTCATGTTCCGTGTGCTGCAAAGAGTTAACCATCCAGTATGTGCTCAATGTTGATACTTCAAACTGTAAAAATACCTTGTTTATCATTATAGATTAGGTTGTTCTCTTTCTAATAATTCTCCTATTGCTCTCTAATTCTGAAGGGAAATCTCGACAAGGCATCTCCTAATGCAGGCTATGTCCTACTAATGTTTTATCACCTTTATGAGGGCAAGGTGTGAACACTTCTCATCACTTCATTTCATGCTGGGTTTCACTTTTAGTATCTTGATTATTTTTCTTCAATGCTTTCAGAGTCGCAGAGAATTTGAGGATGAGCTTATTGATCGATTCGGGTCTCTGGTAAAGATGCCATTGCTGAAATGTGATAGGTATAATAACTCATCCTCAGCACTGGTCTTATTTTCATTACTTCTCCATCCCCATCTTTTATAATCTCTTTGCAGTTTATTCCTTTAGTTTTGTCTTAATTGTGCCTACTTTTTATGATTATTTCTCTATGCCTAGTTTTGTAGTTGGTCTGGTTTACCGCGCAGGCGCATCTAATATTTTGGTGTTTTTGGACTGCAGGAGTCCCTTGCCTGATAATTTGAAGACTATTTTAGAAGAAGGATTAAGTCTGTATAAGCTCCATACTAGTAGACATGGAAGGTTGGTGGCTTGTACGAATTTATATATGTCACTTCTAATGTTGGCTAAATATACCACATCTTTTCAAGTATTTCTCAATTTGTTCCCCAATCTTTTAAAATTTTCAATTTTATCCTAAATGTATCACTAATTAGATCATTCTATTAGAAAAATTGTTAAACTTTGTTTTCAAATCGTTGATCTAACCTTAATTTATTGTTTTGCTGACATATTTGAACAATGGGATATGTAACTACTTGACACACTAAGCCTAACTCACCCATTCGCGAAATATGACACACCCATCAACAAAATTTATTTCTTCAAGTGGCATCCCTATGTGTCCTTCAATGACAAATCACAAATCAGCTTTCTGTTAGTAAATTTTAACAGCTTTTTTCACCAGAGGACTTATTTGATATTTTTTAACACTTTAAGGGTAAAATTGAGAATTTTAAAACATTAAGGATCAAATTGATAAATACCTAAGATATTAGGGACCAATTGATATATTTAGTTTAGCCTTTAATGTTTAACTTTTTTGGCTGGGATGTTTCTAGCATGGAAACATTAATAGCTGATCTGCAATGTGATTTGTTATCAGCCACATCTTATGCATATCTCTGGAACTTTTTACAGGGCGGACTCTACTAAAGGTTCCTATGCAAAAGAATGGGCGAAATGGGAGAAGCAATTGCGAGAAACTTTGTTTGGTAACACTGAATATCTCAATTCTATTCAGGTGTATTTTCTTCTCTTTAAAAGAAGCCACATTTTTTTGTCCATGCATCAAACTCAATTTCGTTTGTAATTATGGACGCTTTTAATGAACATTTTATATTATTTTATGTTTTTTTAATAAAATTTGAGATTTCAGCTAAATTTCAAACACTACAAAGCTTAAATTTAAAAATCAGTTTCTATTTTACCTTTTTTTTTTTTGGGGGGGGGGGAAGCAAAAATTATGTTTCTGGTTGTTAAAATTTGATTAAGATTTCACAGACGATTCAAAACATAAAAACAATGCTTATTTTTCAAAGGTAGAAAAATGTCGCGAAATGCAAATTATAGTGTTAATAGTTTTTCAATTAAAACCTTGATAAATCTATCAATGTCAATTATTCAGGTTCCGTTTGAGGTTGCTGTTCAAGATGTGTTGGAGCAATTAAAGAAAATTGCGAAGGGTGACTATAAAACCCCTATTTCAGAGAGGAGGAAGTCTGCAACCATAGTGTTTGCTGCAGTCAGTCTTCCTGTGCAGGAGATTCAAAATCTTCTTGACACTGTAAGTGAATATGTCTAGGAACCTCTCGTACTCTCAAACCACCAGGTGGCCCACAGAGGTTTTTTAACTTCGAAAACTAAACTAATTACTAAACTCAAAAGCTTAACCTAATAGGTTATAGTATATTTAATCTTTTATGAACATTCTTCATCTTCACCCTCCCCTTCACTTTGGGTTTGGAAATTAGTCTAAGACCAAAGTGACTATTAAGAGAAAATGAGAGTTCGATTCAAAAAAATTTTATTTTGGTACCTAGTTGAACCAATCTTGAAACCAAAAACTTAAGCTAATAGGTTATACAGTGGATTTAATCTTTCATGCATATTCTTAATGTCTTTTTCCATGTAGTTTGTAAATTAGGTCATGGTGAGATTATCAAATATCTAGATCACTGTCAGCTTCCCTTTCAGTTTTATTTGTTTATGTTCTGCAATAACGTTGCAATAAATCATATTAAAAATATCATTTGAATTGTTATGCATTTTTTATCTGTAATTTCATCATATGAACAAATCCCACTATGTGAATCGATACGTTTACCATGTTTATGGTACAGTTGGGCAAGAAGAATCCCCATGTTGAATCCTTCCTTAAACAAGACTACAAGGATTATACACTTAAAGCGGCTCATGTCACACTCGCACACAAGAGAAGCCATGGTGTTAAAGCTGTAGCCGATTACGGTATTTTCCAAAACAAAGAGGTTCCGGTTGAGTTGACTGCCCTACTTTTCTCAGATAAAATGGCTGCCTTTGAAGCCCACCTCGGCAGTGTCGAGGATGAAAGAGTGGTTTCGAAAAATGAGTGGCCCCATGTAACATTATGGACTAGAGAAGGGGTTGCAGCAAAAGAGGCCAACACATTACCACAGTTAGTTTCAGAGGGAAAAGCAACTCTTGTTGAACTCAATCCTCCCACTATCATATCAGGCACTGTGAAATTCTTTTAGCCTTCCTCCATTTCTCTTCATTATCAGGTTGATATGACACAGAAATAAATGGAACGGAAAAATTCCCAAGGCATAAAATTTGGTTGCTGAGGTTTTAGATGCAGGTAATAAGAAGTTTTGTAGAAAGTCCTCTTATGACAAAATGTTGGATGTATAGCCACTTTGATCTTCCCGTAACGGTATGATTAAATTGGAAATTTTGTCTATTAATAATATGGGTTTTATTTGAAAACATTTGAAAGAGCATTTTGTAGTTTTGAGATGATGGAGGATTATTTTTTCCCTCGAGTTTAGATGGTTGATAAATTAGATGAACAGGCATGAGCCTTGATATATAAATCCTGTAGTTCTTGTTCATTTTTGTTTGTTGCTTTGTAAGATAATGTTGGGAGAAGAGAATCTACACCAGGATGGGCAGTGCCATTATCGAGTTCGAGTTCGATGGATCTATCGAGTTAAATTAAATGTAGCAGCAGAAATCGATAGATGTATGATTTAGTTTTTCACACCAAAAGAAATGGCTAATCATACGAGCAACCTATGAATTATAACTTACTATTTCATTGTTTAAGATGATACTCGTATTGTCTTGGCCTTGACCTCTCCCATTTATATTTTAAATGAACTAATTTGTATTATTGAAATGAAATATGAGATTATAGACCAATTGTGTCGAAATTATTTCAAAACAAATTGGCTAGAAAAGCTCCCGTAGTAGTAAACTTTATTGAAATCTCTGAGATATGTTTTCTATCTTCTAGAATTCTGTTTTTTTCAGCAAATACATTAGGAACCTTCTAAAGTCAAATTGAGCCACAAATGCCTAGGTTTGGAATTGATTCCATTTCCACTCACTAAATATAATCAGAGAATTCTTTGCCGAGAATATAAATGGAGAGTTATTTCTATTGAAAGGTATCAAATTTTCATATAGATTCAACCTAACATTTCGCATCCATCGATATTTTCATTGGCGTTGCTATAAAATTGAGAGGGGTTTATCAAGTACTAGGATCCCAATTCCGAAGATTTAACTCCTAAAAAATTGTTCAAAAATTGTTCTATGGAGTTTGAAAACAATAGTCAACATCAATACTTAAATCTTTGCCGCTACTACATAAAATTATCTTTTCATTGTTTCTTTTTTAGTTCAACAATATGTAAGAGTAAAAACTCAAACTTTTGATTTTTTGGTAACGATATATGTCTTTAACCAGTATGTCTTTAACCAGTTGCACCCTACGATTAACCTATAAATATATAGTTATGGTCCTCAATACACCATGTTTCTTGAGCCTCTTGTTCTCCATCAAACAAAGAGTATTACCCATACCACAACTTCTCAATTCATGGTAATCTTTCTAATGGTTTAAGGTAATTTTAATCTCTTTATAGATTTTTGTTTTCTTGCACTTAAACCTTTGGTCTTGATTGTTCTGAAATTTATGAATTTTATTCTAGAATAATCATGAATTAGGATTTATCTAATTTTTCCAACAAGTAAAAATAATATAGAACCTTTATCAACTACACTACGAGAACTAGTATATATGCATACATTACCTCAAATGAAGCTCAACTTCAATTTTTCATGTTATAAAATACAAATTCTTCTCGTTAATGTAATTAGGCTTATTGCTACTTAAACATCCTCATCATGTGCCCTTCTTGTTGGTTCAGCCACAATTTTAACTTCTTAATCCAAATCTACAAAATTAGATAAATTTGTTAGAACAACTGCATTACATGTGCAAGTTATACTATATTCCAAATGGGTGGCATATTTGTAGAAAACATTTCCAAAAATAACTCAACATTTTATATCTCCATAACTAATAATAGATTTTGGAATTCCACACAAAAAGCATAACTTCTCTAAAACAAAAGTAGATTTGATTAATATGTAAGTATCATTTGGTTTCCTCTACAGAATCAAATGTCAATTTTACTAAAGAGATCTACAATAATAAGAGCACACTAAGGTTCTAAGAAATGTGTTAATCCTTAAAAAATTATTTCATAAGACAATAACAATATGGATGTGCAACCACATCACCCAATCCACCAATAAACTGAGCTACCAAATACTGTTGGCTTTCCAAAAGATTGGTTCTTGCCCCGAGCCGATGGAACTCCTCAGTATAATCGGCAATTGAACAAGTCCTTGATGGCAATTTTGATATTGATTATATAAAATATGTTCAAAATTGACGGGAAGGAACCGTTACCTCATTAGTCTTTTCATAAGTTCCCAACTCCGAATAGGCCGCTTACCATACCTTTGACGATTGACCTCTAATTGATCCCACCAAGCAAAGACACCACCTTTAAGTTTAAAAGCAACGAGGCGTACCTTTTTATCTTCCGGTGTGTTCATGTATGAGAAAAAATTTTCCACATTCCAAACCCACTCCAAGAACCCCTCAATTTCCATTTTGCCGCCGAAGGTAGGTAGGCAAATTTTCATTTTGAAATGGTGCATCTTGGTGCCTATTCGGCCTCCTTTGAAATTACCGTCGATTGTCATCCATCTCCAAGTAATCTTCTTCTTCGTCGCTGGAGAAATCCAACAAAAGATCTTGACGTCTTTGAAACAAAGGGTTGTGATTGACTTCTTGGAGGTGATGACGATAATCTTGACACAATCTTGGACCCCTATTGTAATCTTGCCCTCTTTCTTGATGGAATCTTGGAGGTTCTGCAGGTCTTTCTTGAATGCAATGCGAATACCCTGTCAATCATCCTCCCTTACATCTTGGTTGATTCTTGGGTGCAGAGGTTGAGTATTCCTTGTTGGACTCTGTCAATCATCCTCCCTTACATCTTGGTTGATTCTTGGGGGCAGAGGTTGAGTATTCCTTGTTGGACTCTGATTTGTATTCAGCGTTTTCAATTGCTGATGTATAATCTCCAGTATTTGCTTAATCTCACCTACATCACTTTGTAAATTCTTGATCTCTCCATCGACCAACTGCAAGCGTTTGGTGACTGCCCGTGGTGAGAATGGCTGACTGCTCTGTTTTTTTGTTGGTTATGGTTTCTTTCCTGCCATCGAGTGCTCAGAAATTCTTTGGGAGCTCTGATACCAATTTGATGGAGACTTAGGAATAGTAAGAAATCTCAAATCTATCTTTATTAAAGGAAGATAATCCCTATTTATAGAGGGATGCAAGCTAACAAACTAATAGTAACCTGTAGTTACTACACAATAAAAAAGACTTACAACTATAAGCTAGTCTTTATGACTTGAAAAAAAGGTCATATAACTATAAGCTAGTCTTTATGATTTGGAAAAAAGGCCATATACCACGACATCAAACCCCATCCCCTCCTAGCCATTAAATTCATAGTCGAATCATAAATTTTAATTTCTATCTCATATATCACCAATAGTATAGAACTATCAACCACATTGTTCCAACCCGTCAAATAACTTCTCATCAAGTTGGATGTCTTCTCACCAAGTTTTCTACGTCTCAATTAATGTGGCCAGTAAAATCAGGATGTAATCTAATCTAATATTTTATTCCAGCCAAAAATATCAAGAACTCTATGTATGTCAATCAAATTATTGTCACAAGGAATCAGGTGTACATAATTTATTGTTTTCAAAAACAATTCATCTGTAAAACTTTAGTCCTTATAGATTCTCTCCTGTTTCTATATTTTTCCTAAACTATTGCAAATCTTCATTACTTCCACATAATTCAGATAGACTAAATGAAATAATCTTTCCTCATACAGCCTTTAAATGACATGTTTCTAAAACGAGCATTATCCTTTGGACTAGTATCAGGGATAATCCATGGCAAGGAGCGTTCCTTGACACAAACTGTACTTGGATGACTTTCTTTACTGGTTACTCAAGCAAAAAAATCAATGTTAAATGAACTCAGCTCACAGAAGTACTTTTGTTTTTTTGGATATCCATGAGTGTTCAGATCAGCTTGCGGGCATCTCGAGAAATCTCACTAGACAACCGTCTGACCCTACTACATTCGATCGCCTAAGTAACTCGTAGGATCCACCATGTGCAGAAGTACCTTGAACTTGATGGGACAAAGCCATAAAGGGATCACGAGCTTCTTTTGGTGAAGATATCTTGTTAAAGGGCCCTACTCTAACTCCCTTTTGGATCTCAGCTCCCACAAAGACGGCTCCTTCACATGAGAATACACCTGTAACATGAATAGAAATGAAGGCATGAGAGATCACACCGGCAGAGTACAGTTGAATTCACGAACTAAGTCAAAGTGCTTCAAGTTCAAGTACTGTTTAGAATTTAAAGTTGTTCAAGATAAAAGGATTTATAAGTTATTAAAGAAGTTTCAAGAAGCTCACCCCACTGATTAACAAATATCTGTAGAATTTATAAGCCGTGTAGCGACAATAGATATGCACCAGCTGTCGCTCCAGTACAATCTTCTCAATTTATAGCTTTATGAGGCAAGGCATCTGGATAAATCAGAAGTTTTTAGTAAATGGCACCAATACGTCTTGGGGATATGGGATTTGAACCTCCGACATCAAAGAAAGGAGTACATGTCAATTACCGTTCATGTTGGCAAATGACAGCAGTAAGTCTTAGACCTTCAATTGATAGAGAACTACAATTAGGGACGTGGAGAGAGCGAAATGGGGTGCTTTTCTATCTTCCTCATCTGAGTTCTAATGTGAAATGTCGCGATCCTGTCTTCCTAGATCGCACAGTGCCATAACTCCACCTCAACAACAGCCAGCCATCAATTTAAATTTCCATAGTCATCTTCAAGCACATAGCAAAGTTTCCTATAAGTATGTCCATCCACAAGATCCTTCTCTTGCAATTCCCTCAACAAATTTGTGGCTTCTCCCACCCTCCCTTGCCTGCACATTTCATCTAATACCGTCCTATACGTAACAAAATCAGCTGACCTTCTATTACCAATCATCTCCCACAAATAATTAACTGCTTCTTCAACCTCTCCATTGAGAGCCATAGCATTCACAATTGAATTATACGATATACTACTCGGGACGAACCCCTTTTCCTTCATTTCATTGCACAACTCCCTTGCATTATCCGTTCGTCCTTGTGCACATAACCCATGAATCAAATAATCATAGGAAAATGAATTTGGGAGGCTGCTATACACAACACCCATTTGGTGAAAAATCCTCAGAGCATCATTGATATGCAAGGAAAGCACATACCCCTTAATCATACAATTCAAAGTGAATATGTCAGGTTCAATCCCATCATTCACCATTTGCCTGAACAGACATCTAATGGTCTCCATATACATATGGTTTATATAAGCATTACGACCCCGACTTAAGAATGCAGTAAAAAGAAGATTATAGGTTCTAATTGAAGGCCTACAGTTCAAGTTTCTGTTGTTCTGCATATGCTTAAATATATTAATAGCTCTAGTCAACTTCCTCGCCTCAGTGAAGAAATAAATCATAGTATTGTAAAGAGTCTCAGAACCAATAGAAGGAACAGCAAGCACCTGGTTCACAACATCATCCATTTCCTCGAACATTTTGGCCTCACCCAGCTTCTTAATTGTAATCTCATATGTGGAAACATCGTGTCTGAACCGAGGCTGCTGTGAGGCCCAATTGAACAGCTCAAAGCACACCATGGGATCTTCCTGGAGAGAAATGACATTACAGAGTTCTTCGGGGCTAAATCTTGGAGGGATTTGGGAAACTGCCGCCTGAAATAGGGTTTCGTCCAGTGAAGGTTTGATGCTGGATTTCAATCTTTTGCTCGCCCTCCTCCTGAAGGATCTTGAAGGTGCCCTACTTGAGAAGAAATTCAAACGAAATTTTGTAAAAGAGACGACGGGAACCGGGCAGTTTCGGATTTGAGATAAAAGGAGAAAACTTCTGCAATTACCATGATTAGAATTCAACAAACTTGAATGGGTTGAAAATGTTCTGAGAGAAACGAAATGGGGGTTGGATAAATTCGAGTTACGGAGGTGGTTGATGGAAATCCTTGAGAACTGAATGCGAAGGAGGTTCATATTATTGAAAACAAGGAAAACGAAGAACAGAAAAATCTAAATACAAAGGATATTGAAGTTTGAGAAATGATTCAGATTTCTGAAGATGTTGCTGCGATTTTTTGGTAGAGAAGAAGAGAAGAAACAGAATACAGTGACTGTCTACCGCCGTTTTTACGAGCAGACCGCCCTCTCAGAAATTGGATTTTTGGGTCGAAGGATTGGGGAATTTGAATTTGTCACCCCGGATTTTTGGGTCGAAGGATCGGAGAATTTGAATTTGTAATCCCTTCGATGATTGAAATGATCACATTTTCAAAAAATCTAATTTGTGACCCCTCCACCTCTTATTTATAATCCCTTAAATATTTTATTCATGGGAAAAGACGAATTTACTTTAATAAATGTGCATTTATGATTTCCACCTAACCATTTCACCAAACTGTAAACTCATATTTTACATATATTTGAATTTGTTAATATTTTACATTATCTAAAACTCACAGATCACGTTTTCAAAATCCGCTCAAAGCATCAACGTGTTTGATCTTTGTCCCCACACTATCCAAAATCATTTTCCCCACAATTTCACTTATGAAAGCTAGCTATGTTACCTTTACACAAACTTTTGTACTCTATAATTGTTGAACTTTATTGAAATATTTTCCCGTTAATGGGTTCAACTACTAGATTTTGTTGTTGACAAGGAAAAAAAATCAGATTGTTGTAATTACTTCAATCTCGGATCTATACCTTGTCCGGGATTGAATGTAAACAATCTCGATGCATCACGTATCGGGACTGTCTCGGATATATCTCGGACCTGTCTTGGTTCGAGACATGTCCTGGACTAATCTCGAAGCATATTTAGTTCGGGACATGTCTTGGATCAGTCTTGCTTCGAGATTTGTCCTGGACATGTCTCGGACCAAGACTGGTCCAAGATTCATCCGAGACATTTATTTTTTTTCTTAATTTTTGATATTTTATTTTTGAATGATCGATTTTCCTATCTCACTTAGTTTTATCTATTTGTCGGATGTCTCGTGTTTTCATAACATTTGGTGGAGAATGGAATGATAGTGAAAAAGATTATGTCGGCGGTCGTATGAAGGGATTGACAGTGGATAGTACAATCACGTACAGAGAATTTCTAGGTCACGTGTATAGATTGAGTAACATTAACCCCCTACAGTTTGATATTATAATTAGACGCATGCATCATTTTAAAACCAAAGTTTGTGTGATGGAAATAACTGATGACGATGACTTGCGTTTTTTTTTTACTGGTGAGGATGTATCTGAATTGCCTATATATATATCTAATGTGCCAAAGCAGGTACATGGGAATGAAACGTACATGCCTTCTTTCCCATATCATGTAGGCCAAAACGTGTCCTCGATTCCTATGTCTACAGCTTGTATTCCCCTATTCCAGAGACCCACATATCCTATAGTCTCATTTCCTTCCTCATCATCGAACCCCTCTTCTTCCCAATAGCCACAACCCTCCTACAGGCATATAGGTCATGATGTAGACGGTTTAACACCATTGGGGTCAGATGTTGTT